CATCAACCATACCCAAGCTGCCAAAGACACGTCAACAAGTCTTGACAAAGACGACTTACCGATGGATCGGATGCGCCGTGCATTTGGACGCAATGATTATTTGTTGCCGGAGAACTTCAAAACACTACGTCGTTCCGACATTCCGGTCACATATCGTCTACATGACGATCTGCTGCGCTACTATAGGTGAGTGATGAAACTGATGCCCATTCCTGACTCGAGGGCAGCCTCTATAAGATTGGCTAGGTAGGTCATTAGTCCCGGGATCAGCTGGAAATGAGCTCTGCTCAGCGAAGTCCCCTCAAGATTCACTGCGATCAGTTTTGAAGTGGCTCGGCTGCTCGTCACGTTTCGTAATCTCTGCTCCTATCGAACTCACTGGCCAAAATGCCTATTTGAATGGAGACAGAAATGAAAATTGGTTTTTAAGGCTATGCTGTCCAGCCACACTTGGATAGACCAAGTGACGGATGGCATCGCATTCGAGCGAACCTCTCCGGGGATCCACGACCCTTTCAACATGAAGCTATGCCTCACACTTTACTATTAAAAGGGCAAACGTACCACTAAAAATCCCTTCTCATTCTTAGAACTTTAAGCCCAGAAATCTTGTCATGCTCATTCTCACAAGGAAGTGCTGCTTCCTGAGAGTGCTTGGTGATTTAAGCTGCTGCAAGCCGGAAAGCCGCTGCTTTCTGCTCGCTTGTTGCTTTGTGTCTTCTGTGACTTCCACAGCCAACAACTTATTAGGGGCAATTTCCGGTGGATCGGGGTGTTTCTGTTGTTGCCCGTGTCGTGACGGGGAGAAATTCGATTCTAGTGCGGCCAATTGTCTCAGGAAAGGAAGTGCAGCACTAGCGCTGGGTTGTCTCCTAGCGACTTCTAAGCCATTAACCTTCAGCGATATTTACCGCGCTTTCCTAGCAATTGAGATTTCCGTCTCCATAGCACGAATTAGCTGATGTACGCTTTTCTGAAGGATGAATTCGTTCACATACCTAAGCGGTATAAGTAAACCTAAACCGCTATGGCTGCGCTTTTGCCTCTTGGGATAGGACTGGGTGAAATATATTCCCAAGTAGGAGGATTTAGTGGTAAGGGGGCGTTTCCCGTCATAGCGTTTGCCTCGTGCGTGCGATTTCCTGTGTGACTGCGCCGTCAAGGATTTTCATCCGAGTTGCTGGTCGATGGGTTGACAGGATGGATTGACGGGCGGGAGAGAGCTCCAGGCTAGTGCGCGGCGAATCGGCTGTGGGAAGGTGGTCTTCCACGAACAGAAGGCGAGTGTGCGGGTTCCGCTGATGTTGCCAAAAGACGGACGTGCCTGGTATCCTATGGAATGTTATTTGCATCGGTTAGTCTATGTAGAGTGTTGCTAATGGGCCATTTTCAATTCCCTCTGGGGACGATTGGCGAAAGACGCAGGATGCTTTAGTTCGGCGCTTGCTGCGCGCCCGTCGAATTCTTTACCGTAAAAGTGTTTGTCATCGGCGACACTACTGGTTACGAGAAGCCATTCCGAAGGATTAATTGGCCCTGAAGGAGCGCTTTTTTAATTGAACGAGGGAAACGGTAAAAGGTGAATAGAGCTATTGGTATTGACCAGTCCTGCTGGGATACGCCATATCTGCCTTTGCTTTGAAATCATATAAAATGAGCCGCGGAGCTGATGAGGCTTATTCTGCTGTTTTTCACCCCTCGAAAAAATGTGGCGCCACCCCTCGATGGGAAACCACGACGAGGTTCCGTAAAAACCTCGAGTTCCACTTGGTCCTGAATGGAGAAGGATTGTTCTGCAGGATTGATGTTGATTGCCGAAAGAAGGGCTTCTTTCTGAGAAATTCTGAAATAACAGATTTTCAATGTATTAATGGGCCTATCCCACCCTACCGATTGGCGGTCTTTTTGAGGTGGAGAGAGAGGACAGTGGAAGGGAAGGTTGGTATTCAAGTTAAGAGGAGGGGCAAGTGCCATCCCCAGCGTCAAACATGATTGCTTTATATTACGTGGCCTCTCTCCTGCATATTATATTGAACTCCATGCGGATGCGTCAACCCCCCCATCATCCCGTTCCACCTAGAGCGAATGAGCAGAAGTACTGTATGGTTCATGTGGAACAGGGAATCGTGAACAATCCCTAACCCGTGTATTCCTTAGATTTCCGTGGAAGTCCAAAAAAAGCCACAGTTTCCCAATCTGGCCCATCCAATACCGCCCATGGGTCCTTTCCAACTAGATAAACTACCGAACCTGGATTAGCTGCATGCCTGGTCCCGGTGTGGGAGAAAGTAAGCGATGTTGAAATAGGGCACGGACGGAGAGGGCTATTCAAAATACTTCCCAATCACCATGTATTGGTCCTCTGGAATGTTTGGCACAGTGAGAATTCGAGGGGTAGCAGGATTTTTCCAGGGCTATGCTGACCTCAGAAGCGCCCTTCATTTTTCGATTACCCTATTTTGCAAATCAAAAAATCAATTGTTTCAGGAAAGGTACTCGACCGGTGACTCATCCGAGTAAGATCGTGTCCGTTTCGATGAGCGTGTTCCTTTATCAGATCGTAAAATTGGTAATGTTAACTTTATTATTCATATACACAACAAATTATTCTTACATTCGTCTATAATTGTACGAGAATAAGAGATTCCTAAACGATAAATGAAAAATGATACCCGAACAGAATTCAAACTTCGTATTTTAGGACGCTGTGAAGAACACAATCAGTCTGTCTGGAAGCTTCGAATTGGTGGGTTGGAAGTTTTCAAAAGATTTTTCAGAGTTTTTCATTGACATCCGTGTCACGTACCAGTTCGTCCAAATAATTGAATGTTCGTTTGAATCTGAAATTTGCCGGTTTCTTCTTTTTCATGGCGAGTTTTTGTCTCAAATTCATTCAACAGCGCCGTCGACACTATTTGCCAGATACCGTATCCTTTTCTCTTCAGGACCTCACAACTCTTGCCAGTCTTCTCCAAATCGCATAATTTTATGTGTCAATTTATCTGAATAGAAAATACCTGTGGTTAGCCTCTCATACTTACCTGGTCTCGATAACGATTTACTAAAAAAATTTTGCGACTTTCTCAATTTCTTTTTTGATCGTTGTACCTACGATACGTGGTCCCATCACGAAATAGGATACGGTAAGCGTTTCATTCTAAGAAATGTTCTGCATACCTTTTGAGCCACTTCTTCGTCACACCGTAAGCGTCAGTAACAATAACTCGCTCTTCCAGAACATCTGGCCTGACCAATAGGAACATGCGCTTCGCCTTGAAATTTTTTTGATTCACTCGAAAATTTGAAACTTATGAATTTAAAGGGGTTTCCTATGAAGGCCTTACCTCTCTGAATAGTCGACCGTCGCCAAACATGGATCGTTTAAATTTCGTTTCCAATTTTATCATATTGTCCCTAACGATTCCTTCTTCGATGAGCATCAGACCTTAAATAGACTTTTATTGAATTTGTAGAGTACTTTGACACTTACAATTATTGGACAAAAGATGAAAGTAGTCCAGTGGCAAGGGCGCGGTATGCCATATGTATGCTGCAACGTTGGAGTGTCAGATCGTATCTCGCCCAGGCCAACCAAGCTCTTCATTCCTTCCAAGTCAACGCACGGATACCAAAAAATTCTTCTGGGGGGGGATAGATGAAACATCTCCCGCTCCGGATGACCTTCTTTGCGGTGCCAACTAACAGTCAAGCTTCGTAAGCCATATAGTTTAAAGTACCCGACGATTCGTAACGAAAGGATATGCGTGGCGTATCTCACATAGAGATTGCTCAATGTCAAAAGTATTATCCTTTTCATTCAGTGGAAGTATTTGAAGTATATTCGTACATTTATTTTCCCAACAGACTTGCAAAGGCAATTGGAACAAGAGCGTAGTGCAAAATCAGGGTACCCGACAGGAGGCCCGTCGCGCGGCAAGAAGGCAGAGTCAGCGGACGAGTTGCAGAACATGATGTGCGATGTAGGACGTACAAAGGTGCATTCTATTTAACTTGACGCGAAATCACTACAGTACGCGCTGCGACTCGTCCGCTGACTTCTGCCTTCTAGCCAGCGCCGGCAGGCGTCCTGTCCGGTACCCCTAAAGTCAACCTCTCTGAACTTCTGAAAAACCCTTCATCATTTCCCTCAAACCCTCCAACCATTCATCGTTTCTGACTTGAGGCCCCAGTTGCCAGAGAGCCTTTCTGACAGAAAATCCATAATTAAAAGGCAAAGTTCGGGCTCAGACCCACTTAATGAGCCTTTACGGTGGCTAGAAGCGCTAGGCACGCAAGTGTAGGGGTCGCGTCACTTCCCTACTTCGAAAACCGTTATTTAGACGCTAGGCTCTAAGAACTTTGACACGCTCCACCTGCTGCGACACGCTCCGCCCACCGCTCGATATCTTGTCTGCGTCGGAATGTTGATCTGCTATGCTCTCTCTACTTAGACTTCTCTAGCGCTCTCCGCGCTCACATTATCTCTCATCTCCCTGCCGGCCTTTTGAACTTCTCCGCACCGTAGAGGAAATGGCTCGTATTTCCTAAGCATTTCACGATTTCTTTTTCTCTTTTCTGCACTAGGGGCACTAGCGTACCTCCACTACCTACCACTACTCACATTTGAGTGAAATTATCTCATAATTCAATCCTGAATCTTGCCTTTAAAGAAAAGAGGGGAATAGGGTCGCTTCAGTCCATTCAACGCTTTACTTAAATAAAGCAACAAATGTTTGGGAACGTGCGGGCCAATCTGTTCCACTTTAGTTCACACCCTCACATCATAACTTTTGTTTGTGCTACAGTTGTCCACTATCCGACCCGGACACTGTGAACATCTTCACCATTACCAGAAAAGGGCGAAGAAATGATCTGCTAGGGAAATAGGGATTCTGTGACGTTTTAGTGGCAACTGCTACGTTTTGATGTTAGCAAGAGGACATCGACATTATCAAAATTGCCCAAATATTGGTTCAATGGCATGATTTATTCAGTTAATGATGTGCATCTGTCACTTGTCCCAGTGAAAAACAAGCACTGTTTAAAAATGAGCACCCACAAAACCTTGCCCTTTTTCGAGCCATCATTTGACGCTCTATTTTCTTTGCTATCATTTGTGTTTTTCAACAGGACTTCTCTTTATCCCCCTCCAAGGTTGCTGAATTTTTCTCTGCCTGAATTTTTTTATCATTTCTGTTCTTGCCTGGAATTGGGATTTTCTTGAATGGAAGAAAAAATCTTTTAAAAAATTCCTAAAAATATTCTTTCTTTCCTTAAGTGGTTTCTTTTGTCTTCTCAAAAAGAAATTGAAAGCTCAAGAAGAATTCCTAAGTGGCCAACCTCCACTTGAGCGATCGATCGGAATTTGGGGCTCTCAACAAAAACTACAACTAACGATCTTGATCCTTGAAGAAAATTAGCGGAGCTGCCGGTTTGCCCTGGGTAACTTTTTTCAGGGTTTCCCAAAGTCTGTAGATACGCATTTTCCGCCATTCTGCCGTAATAGCTTGGCATACAAAATAAGCCGACTACGGCAATCTGTGGCAGATCACATGTTTGGCCTCAGAGATAGATCTTGCTACCAGTTGACCGACGCTGGCGTCAGCAAGGCTTAATCGCCCGGGCTAAAACGCATTCCGGGCTTTGAACCCCAAAAAAGACCCTGTAGCAGTGTATTCCATGGCCTCGCCTCGCTATGTAATCTCTTATCAGCCATAAAGCTGTAAAAATGGACAGGGTAGGGGATGTAGCTAGGCCTCGGGTTGCTCCCAAAGTTTTGAGCAGTTTTCAGCAATTCCATCTTCTAGTCGCTTGGAAACCGTTGAACGTTCAGTGTGGTATTGGCGTACCACGGCCTATTTTTGGACTCCAGGAGCCTCCTCTTTAGGCTAATTTTATTGAGGTTTTATGTGAGCGAGGATCAAACAGGTTTTGACGGCTCGGCAATTCGACCCTGTCCTTATTGTTCGAAGATTAAATGTAACTGAATCACTAGAATCACTACCGATTCTAAAAAAACAAATTTCAGTATTTTTGGGACGTCCCCTTAACCAGTCTTACTTTCCAAACATTTTTCGTGACTTCCATAGAAAGCTTTCAGGAAATTAAATATCGTCTTCTCAACGGTTTTCCAATGAGATTTTATAATTATTCCGTTAGAAGACCCAGATTTCGCGAAGAGATTCACCTGTCAGGGGCCCAATGACCTCAGCTGGATCATCTTCCCAACCCAGAGGTGTGACGATATTTTAGCCCAATTTTGTCCGCTGATTCAATAGCCGAATAAGACGTCCAGACGATCAGATTGCTCATTCTCACCCTCTGCTAAACTGCTCCATTCATGGGTTCCGTGGCAATTCTCTTTCGTCTTGTCGCGTTGATTGGCCCAGTTTGGGACGCGAGTGCATTTCCCGCGGCTCAGCAACACCAATTATAATTTTCAGCGGTCGCCATGCGAGTTGGTGTTTCCGCCTGAGGCGCCGGCACCTTCGCCGCCCCAGCGGATCGCCATGGCCTCCAAACACCGTAATTAAATTGTCCGGTATCGCCTGAACATCATCTCATAGGAAAGTGCATAGCAAAAAGCGACACTGAGCCAAGGGAACATCGGCAAATTTCGGTTCATCAGCCCCTAGCCGTGCCAGCCAGTTCGGGCGTGTGGCGCAAGCTTCTAAAAGATTGCTGTAAAGCGTACTAGATCAATGCGTTCGGATCCAAAAGGTCGATCAACATTTACGAAATGCGCCATGCATTCCACGTCTATTCAAGATCGTATAAGCATTTTGAAAGCCATTTGCCTATACAATGGCTTGGGAAGGCGACCCGATGTATAGTTCAATGTTTTTGTCCTAGCAGACAAGTCTGATATCATGATATCAGTTACTTTATCTTAGGGGGAATGGAAAGGCCTGGTTGGCTCGGACAACGCAGGATCTTTACCCAACCCTGCTCCCAGTCACTTGCTTCTTAAAATTTATAATAAACTAGGGATTTTCCAGGCGCAACGCTTTGGTTATTTGCAAGAAATGTATTTTAGAGGATGTGGCTGGCAATATTTTTCGCAGTTGGACGATTGTTTTCGCTTGTCCGGGTCTCGTGTACTCTTTACCTCGAATCCGTTGGGACCACCATGGCTTCACCCGTAGTCTCGTTGACGTTTGAAGCCACCCTCAGAATTGCCTCAATCGTCATATTTCGTGTTTTCGCCATAGTAGACCCGCAATGCACCATAGCCAACAGGGAATCTCATGGCTTGTCTTCGGAATAGAGCCAATGGGGGCTTCTAGGGGTCACGAGAAGTCTGGAGGGCGAGAAGTCTGGTGAAATTCGTCGAGTTGAGATTACTTCGTCAGCTAGAGGGTCAGACTGGGCTGCTGAAGGCTGAGTTACTCTAAATAGCATGGTTGCAGGGGCAAAGGGGATCTACCTGACGAACTATTCCCAACTCGACGAGTTTTACCAGACTTAAGAAAGAAAGAAAAACGAGAAATATTGGGCCTAACTAAGGACAGTACGTCGTTATTTGAACAGTCCTATAATCACCAATGGCAGGAATCTGTAACCTCCCTTATTCAGCATTCTATCCCCATTTTAGGCAGTGTTCAAAGAGCAATAGTTATTTTCCTCATAGGTCCAAAGAATTCCAATTCGCGCATGTTTTGAGTGGAATTGAAATTCGTGACATCGCCCCGAAGACCACGTTCAATTTTGTTTTTTGAAGTTTACACCAAAGCATGTAGGTCAAAGCAGACAACATGAACTCTTGTGACAACATGAACACGAGACCGTTCAGCCGTGACATGTTCAACATCCCCATTTGGGATTATATTAGTGGTCCCGTGGCCTGACGTCAAGGAACTTTTGCACCGAGACCGTTCAAACCGTGAATGTTTAACATCCCATTTGGAATAATATTAATGTCCATGCCTGACGTCGAAGGACCATGTTGGATATTCTTCCAAAGTATCAAAGGGCAGTTCAAGGGATTCCTAACACAGGGGACATCATATTATCTGACCTATCATAGAGGAGGAGTAGAGCTAACATGAAGAAAAGTGACACCGAGAATCCTTCTGATAAGAAACAACGCTCCAAAATCAGTTTGATGAATTCAAGTTCTTTAGGCTCTTTCCCAAGCAAACTCCCATCGCTTTCCAGTTAAGACGGGATTTCAAAATAAAAGGTTGGAGAAAAAAATGGTACGGGGGATCTAGGCGATGTTGGAATTCGAGCTGAATTTTGAAGAGAATTTCGGTAATTAATTTGGAGGGAAGAGGGTAATAAAATCGATATTTTGAAAACCCTACCCACCATGTTGGCCCCGGTATCTAAGTGATCCGTTCACCGAAGGGCCAAGTTGAGGAAGGACAGATGCTAACTTATCCCTAGGCTTACCAACTTATCCGAAAATAAAATCAATATGAATTTTAGCGCCCAATTTCTATTATGGATTCGAGTTTTAATATTCTAACGCCAAAAGTCCGTTTTTTACTGGAGCTGAACACTGACCATTGTTGCCCACGCTTTCGATAGCGACTTGGTCATCGCCTTCGGCTGGTTTGTTGAATTCGACAAATCCGGTGTCCTCTTTGAATGGTTTAGTCGTCATAAAACCGACTTCGGTGTGCACGTCACGACCATCCATCGTTACTGCCGTCTTACTGAAAGCCGTAGAATAAACATACAACAAATAAACAAAAAAGTAAATAAATAAATAAATAAATTAATAATAAACTAAATAAAATTCAGCTGATCGACTCTCAGACAGCGGGATGATAGGTACTTTTGTGAATTTGTCGCTATCAGAAAGTATGAGAAGGTTGAGGTGGTTGGCAATGGTCAGACTTTGGAATGCGCCGGGCATTTGTTTCTACTCAAGTCCAGAATTATTTGCATGGGAAATTGCTCAACACAAAGATCTTCAAGAAGGAGACGAACAGTCAAAATCGAGGTTCGCAGACCCCGTTGTGATTGCAGAGGTCCAAAATGGAGTTTTTCCAGACCGTTTTATCCTTTCTAACGTCAGCGGCACAGTATTAAGCTATCTCTCTCCGAATACACTTGAATTTTCGTTTTCTCCCTTCAAGTTATCCCTTTGCCTCCTCCAAACTTACCGTTCCTCTCCCCTAGGCCGCTGGTAGCAGCGTGTGAGCTTTCTCGTTCCATCGCAAATCTCGTCACTATTGAAGTTCCGGGGTAATATTTCGCGACCACTTCCAAGATAATTTGAGCGCTTCACGGGCAAAACAATGGGTGACGGAGAATAATCCATGGAGAGATGGAAGCTCGACAGCCCTCAATTGAGTCGAAGTGTACGTCATTTTTGGATGTGCATCGCGTCATGCTATTTCAGATGGCACTGAGATTATGCTAATGTCACGGCGTATCCGGAATGGGTTAGTTCCAGTAGAGCTAACGTTAGTAAAACCAGAGGTCAATGAGGAAGGCATAATTTATGAGCCTGGACTTGCCTTATGTTCACTGGTGGTCGATCGAACATCGGCACATCCGAGATTTGTACCTCGAGAATCTCTCGATATGGTCCTGAGAGGGATTCGGGGAAACTGTAAATGTCGAATTGATGTATAATAAAGTGTACGGGTAAATGAGAGACCTACTTATCGCCCTGAGTCGTTTTGCACTCCCATCTGCCGACAAACCAGGCGATATTGTCGAGAATCGGCGGCAGGGTCAACGGTAACCCTAAATGATTTACGGTAGCCATCTAATGACTCTTTAAAACTGAAAATCTCCTTACTTCTTCCGCTACTGCGACACAATCCGCAAGAGAGTGCGCAGTTGTCTGTGAAGAACGGTGAGATAGGCCGCGTCCACGAGCAGCGCTCTTCCTCGCGCCATCGCTTGCAACTACGGTATACGTCTTGACATGGTCCTGAAACGAAAAGATAAAAGGACTCAAGTGAATCTGTTTGGCTCTATGGGGCTCGTTGCGCATCTGACATAAAGAAATCACTTAATTCAGTGTTTTTGTGCGTAGTGAGCTTTCCAGTGCCTATGGGAGTAAACCGATATCCAGACCAGCGTTTTCTTTCTCGCGAACAAGTCCTATACCAATTGCGGACCCCCCAAACCTAGTAAAAGCCTTGTTAGGTCTAGGTGGAATCAGATCCGATGTTCAAGGCTAGAAATGGAATTCTGGAACAGAACTGCTCAGACCGCTAGTTAATGCATGAAAGACCTAGAAACCCTGAACTTACCCCTAGGCTGCCTTTGTTGGGAACCCCCAGACCTCTTTCCATCAAGAGTCCGACACGACATTTCTTCATTTTTACTGAACTATGAAGTAGTATGATGGTAAAAAGGAATATGCTCTTATAGACAAATTGGAGATCTTTTTTTTTGAAGAAGTTTGCTCTTTTCAAATTGAAGCTATAAATAGGTAAATATATCGCTCTGTGAAAAAGTGAAGGCTACTCAACCCCACTGGTTGGCCCACGGCCAATCTGCCGAAGGACAACTCTAGCAATCTGCGTTTCCTTGCCGTGAAGTTCCCTCGGTGTTCGCACATAAAGCCTTTTAAGGGCTATTTGTTTCCTCTTTCGGGACATTACCTCTGACATCAAGCCCATCGTCGAGAAGGAGTAGATCGTTTTTCATTCCTTCGAGCCACTTTGCTGGAAACCGGCCTCTTTTCGGCCACGAAAGAATCAATGAAAAGCTAGGAGTGGTGGCAGCACGGGATCATATCGCCAACTCAGAAACTCACTTTGCATTCGGACTTAGCATCGGTTCTTTTTCCTCGGATAACCTCACAGCGCTAACCAAAGTGCAAAATTGTGCCAATTGAATATTTGGTCAGGTGGGCTGGTGTTTGGTCCTGTGGAATTCCAAGAGGTGCCCTCGCGCTATCTCCATTTTTCTAAGAAAGCCCTGTGCATTACACACAGTATCAGGCTACCTTAAAAAGCTTATTTGATTACGCTGTTGGATTATTGAAATTGGAAAAGTACGTGATGGCAATAAGGATGACACCCGAATGTCTTCGTGAGGAACGAGGCTCTAGCGGGTCCCTGGGGAGATTTTCTGACGAACTTCTCTCAACCTAGTAGGGACGTTGTATCCTCATGTACTCTGTTCGTTGAATAATCGTTCCGTTTCGATGGTTCTTAGTGAACCACAGGGAAATCTCGTATAAAGGGTGTATGGAAAAACGTAACAAATGGGAAGGGATTTATCATAAGAGAGGAAGGAACGTGGGAAGGACCGAGGAGAGCCTTCAGACAGCACACAGATGGTCTGGCATACTTTGTTTTCGTAACGATTAGTCTTCCTTTTTGTCGAATGGTAATAATAAAGGGGCACTGGTGACGAAGTGGTCTAAGGTGGCCTGGGATGGTCACCGTCAAGTCCATGTGGACCATCTCTCTGGAGCAAGCGGTCGATGGCTGTCGTATTTCCAGTTAACAATGTTTTTTTATTAAGGTAGCACTGTGCCGCCCTACGAGGTTGTTCCGGAAAAAGGCCATACGTGGACTGTCGTTTGTTACTGCGTAGTAATCATGCATGCGTTGGTCAATCTCGTCTGGGATGCGCCATGCATTCTATCTCCATTCAGAGTCGTTAGTGGCAATCTTTAAACCCGATTCAGTCATACATAAATTACCTACGATGGGAAGCCAGGCCGACTGTATTAAGAGTAAAGCCTTATGAGCCTCCCATATGAGTCTTCCGGTACAAATGCGGGAACCAGATGATGGAGCATTAGGTTGGCCGCGACGACGACGTTCACGCATCGTGGTAAGCAAGAGCCCTAATCAACTACGTCACTTCCGCCCACGAATAGCTTTAGCTGGAGCGTCCATTTTGCCTCCTGGACGGGTTAAAAACAATCAAATAATGTGAAGTACCAGGGGAAGAGGAAAACACACTGTCCTGCGACAGTACGCTATGCTTTTGTGTTAGCCGCATACACTTTCAAACATCTCCACGATTCCATGTTGGAGCAACTTCATGGCACAACCAGCAGGTTCTGATCAATTTGGTCTTGTACGTTTACAACAACTCTCTCTTCAGCGTCCGGTAACCTAAATTCAGAACACTCATTTGTCGCGTACCGCCTAGGACTGACCATAAGCCTAGGCCCAAATCATAGGCTTAAGCATGAAGCCGACGTGTAAGCATAAGCCTAAGCTTAAGCCAAACTCAAGCGTAACTGGGCTTGGATGATTGCGTAGCTCTGGTGACCTGACCGTAGGAGGAGAAGCTGAACTTCTACGCTTTGTTCAATGATGTACTTTCATTGTAGCGTTCGTTGTAATTTAAGCCTAATTAGTGTTTTCGCTGCTTATCTTTCATATTTTGCCACTATGAAATGATTGAAGATACCGCTAGCAGAAATTCAACTTTCAATTTGCTCTGGTCTCTGTCTTTCATTTTTATTTTTATTTTTACATTTCATTTTCCTAATGAGATCCTATGCGTTGCAGCTCATGCGTTTTTTGTTCGAAAGGGGGCCACTTTTCGGCAACACTGAAAGAGTCAGGTAGTTGAAGACGTTGGAAACTCCTCTCTATGGCAGAAATTTCTTTCATTTTCCTTGAAAACACCGATGACGTCAGTGGAGTTATCCGCTAAGCTGGTGCACAGGAAAAAACCGTTAGTTGGCTTACTTGCACACTTTCGACCCATCCATCCAGGCGGACACTTGCAACGATTGCCTGACAACTGTCTCACGCAGTGACCAGGGCCGCATGACTGACGATCCACCATGGAGCAGAAGTCAATCACTGTAATTGAGGACATTAGGTTTAGAAGTTGGGTAAATATATCAGAAAAAGAACGTCCAGTCTCTCGTATATATCGCGAATCAGATATTTCTATCTTTCACCTTAGGTATGCTAGAGTCTTGATGACTGGTTTGTGCGCCCTTAACACTTTGGAGACCGCGCGTGTTTTACGTTCCGCGGCCGCGCGGGACTTCGGTGAAGATTTTTAGGGATCTTATCTAGCAAATTCAAAAGAAGAACCCACTGTGTAATGCAGAAGAAATCTTATCGGATAAAATGGAAAAGAAAATGAATGAAAAACCTAATAATTGTTTCCGAAATGCGAGCTGAAAGGTCCTATGCGGTCGGAGGGCTGCAGCCCACATATGGGCTGCGTGGGCTCCAAGGTGTTAAAACGCTCTCAATTCGAGAAATGAGAGCTCATTGTGCGCGTACCGCGCATCTCCCGCCCACTTACAAGTCACGCGCCTCAGAACACGTAGCTTAAACAAATCAGGGCATTTTTCACGATTACGGGTGATACAGTGTGGAGCTCGTGTATATAATTTTATGCGGCTACTAGAAGTGCTGAAACAACGACTCCGGAAAACTCGTCCACATCCAATTTTCTGTTAGCTGTGACCGATACACTCGGCTCGTTCGCAACCCTTGGTCGCTTACTCAGGAACAAAGCGTTTATTCTGGTTTCTGGTTTCCCGATTTTTCTTTATCCTTCAATGATGCCCTTATCGCCAATCAACTGCAGTGTGATGCTTGCCTTCACCCAGGCTGCACTCCGAATATAGCCTGCTCCATGGTCTGATTTAAAGGCACACTCCGCGACTAATTCACTGTCCAGTCCGTCACATGAATGAGATGGTTGGTTCGCGATTTGAAAGTGCACTCGCGACTCAAAACGCCTTCGGCCGAAGACTAGGGCGCCCTTGTGCCTTGCGCCTGCACAGCCTCAGCATCTTATGCCGCCTATTTCTATTTCGCAAAGACTGAGATGAGCGTCGAGTGCAGCCACACATCCAAGTGAAGACGAAGGTTAATAAGTGCATTTTATTCTTTGAGCTTTTGCCACTTCGTGGGTGGTGGCTCGACTTGAAACGCTCTTCGTTCTTCCGAATAGAGGACAACCTTGGTGGCATGCGGCTGTCGGCGTTATCCTTCGGTATAACCTTCTTCGTTTTTCCGGCTCCCATCTCCCTGGCGATGAAGAAGGTCACGCGGTGTGCCTCACGTCCCCATGCCGCCAGGCTAGTTAATTTTTGTGGACTCGAAGTGTTACATTTCTTGGTTGTATATGAGGCTCAACATGAAAAGACTCCGAAAAACGTCGTAAGCCCTGAATTTTCTGCAAACTATACACCTATCAGCTTGCTTGCTCGCAATGGTTGGTCACTGAATTTTGAAAAACTGGTTTCTAGTTTTCTTAATGTCTTACTGTGCCTTTAGCGCGATCACGCTCTAACCCCAACCGCCTCCACAGTATGATGCCTGCACCCAGGCGCGCACTCGATATAGCCTGCTCCATGGTCATGACTTGAGGCACACTTCGGAAGTAATTTAGTGGCTCCTCCATGAATGAGATGTTGGTTCGACGATGGTAGTGGCACTCGGGACGTCAAAGAAGTAGGCCGCGTGCCTGCGCACAGCTCTGGCCCTTATGCGACGCTTAAATCCTATTTCGGGAGACGGAGAGAATTGAGTCAGACCAACACCAAAGACGACGGAAGGGAAATAAGTGGCATTTCATTCTTAGCCGTCGCCACTTGTGTTTTTGTGGTCGGTACTCGACGCTCTTCGTATTCCGAAATAGAGGACACCTTGGTAAATGTGTTACTGTCTGCGTCTCCTTCGGCCCTATACATTCTCGTTTTTCGACCACCGTGTGCCTCACGTAGCCGCAGGTAGTTAATTTTGTGAGAGCACAATACATTCAAAGCGATATTGGCTATGACTGAATAATAGTGCTTGTTGTGAAATTGCTGGAAATTTATAATCAGCTAGAAACTCCCAATTCTCCCACAACGCCACTTCCGCCTTTCAGCACTTAATCTCCTTTGATACGATGAACTTGCAATTTTCATCTCGGGTTTTCAAGGGGTTTTTCCTCAGTGGATAGATAATGATGAAAGAAGTCTTGGGAGATAGATGCGTCAATAGCAGCTTTCACAGAGATTTAATGCGCTAAGGTCTGTCTGAAGCAGGGTTAACCGTCCGTTCGCACTATTCGAATGAGGGGGTCGCATTTTGGGGTTGAGCAGGGTCATTACAGTGGGAACGGAGTTTGTTAAAGGGGTTGTGTTTAGACGGGTTTGGACGAATTTGATGAAAAAGTGAGAATTAGGTGAAATCGGTGGATTTGCCGCTTCACCCTCCCCCCTTTCTTCCCGCTCGACGGCTGTTTTGGAGGGAAAAGTGGGCGGAGTTGGGCTGTGTCGACTGGTCTCAGAAAATCATAATGATGAGGACGGTGAGGGTGATCGGAGAAGGGGGAAAGGGGATCGTATTGGGGGAGCCTTCTACGACTGATGGTGGTGGCGGGGGTCCCATCGAGCCTCCCCCCTAAAGGGAGGGCGGTTGCAAATGTTTCGAAAAAAAAAACGATTGACTCTGTTCTGGAGGCAATCGACCACAGGACAGGAGACTTTCTCGAATCGAGCGATTCGCTAGCGATCTGCCGCAAAGTCTGACATCTGCCTTAGCGCCACTATTGAACCTGGGCCGCAATCTCGTCATAGCATGCAGAGATTTTTATTGGTCAAAAATTGCAGCGACGTATGAGGACTAGCTGAAAGCTGTATGTGCTAGTGAAAGGGTTTGGAATACAAAGGGTTGTCTGGGAGCAAAAAAACCTCTCTCGCCATTCTTAGCACCCTCGCCTCCATTTGCTAACGTAGTGAGTACCAATGTGAGCCTATTACCTGAAAAAGTGGCCAACATTGACGCAAATAGGGAAAATTACTGCTGAGCAAGAGTCAACCTCATGACCCAACGAGTCGATCCTATGGGCGCTTTCCTTTTTGGTTGCTGACCTTTCACATAGCCTTACCCCAATCGGTAGGAAATATCTACCCTAGTCAACGTATGAGGGGAATGAGATACCAGGGAACACAGTCGGTACGACTTTTGATCGTTCCAAAGCTTTCATCTTTTGGATTTGCTTAGGTAAGAACTTCAGGCGCTATCGCAAGATATAGGGGCATTAGGGTGGCAGCTTGAGGCAGGGGAGGACAGATCTCAGGAAGCGCGAGAACAATTCTTTCAAAGCTCCTCGCTCAAGATACGGGAGCATCCTGCGCTTAATACCGCAGGATGCTCCCGTATCTTGCGATA